AAAATTGGGTATTGTTGTTATATCGCAATCTAACACTTGTAAAAAGTGTTCAATACGTCGGTTAAAAACACCGAATAATAAGGATACGAATATATTTACTATGCAAAATACTAAATTATAGACAAATGAAAAATGTACCCCAACTCCTCAAAATACCGATGTATGGGAACTCAAAATACTCAAAGTCAATACGATGAAAATTCGTGTCAAAAATCCCCAAACATATCGGACATTTGGAAGCACCGTTAATGAGGGCTACCCCAAAACGTGAACCTATATATACCATTCCGAGCCTCATAAAAGTAGTAGCAGTGTATGTACAATATTTCCAGGCTCTTTCTCAAATATTTCGAGCTCTATCGTGATTTTAGAAAAGAGACAGACTCCACCTAACGGTGTAGGGTATAAAAATTTCGATAGGCTGATTTATAATTCTATAATATACTAGCAAACACGGCGAACTTCGTGTCGCCCGACTAAGAATTTTTAATTCGAAAATAAATTCCGGGTCAATTGTCAATTTTTCCAATTTCGCGACTTTTCTGGATGCCTTGTTCAACATTTTCTTTCGTAAACACCTTCCCACTGCAATTACAAACAATCAATAGAAAATAGGTCCAGCCGTTCTCAATCGATGTATATAGATTTAAATTTTCCCCTGACCAACAGTATTTTAATTTTAAAGGACTTTCGACGAATATTTCGAGGCATTATATAATTATAGATAAACCCCATTTACACCTATGCATATGTACATATGTGTATAAAAGCTCGTTGGCAGAACTTTGATCTCTTATGAATTGGTATACAAACTTATTATAACAATTTCATCAAAATTAAATATTTATATTTAAATATTTGACATATATTTAACCTCTATCTACTTATGAATATTTAAACAAAACAAAGATTACTTCCTCTGTTATGCAGAGTAAAAATTATTTAATGCATTGTTTTTATATTTAAAATACATTTGTTTTTGTTTTTTTTATTTAAGACCATACTCAGCATATGTTGTTTTTGTTATTTTTTGTTTACTACAATAATTTTTTATATTCAATATTTTATAATTTATGCCCACCTGCTGCAACTCAATCAAATCAATTTTTCGCTTTTCATTTTTTGTCTTTTTGTTTTTATTCATCCGAGTGGAGGAATACTTGTCGTATCAATTAACAGCTTTAGGCTGTGGTGTTGACAAAAAATTTATAAAAAAAAATAAAAACATGTTGTTACAACGAATACAGCCTTTTCCAACACTATACGTATAGAGTTTGGTATGTAAATTTTATTTTCTTTTTTCTACATCGACATGAACAACATACATCCATATATGTATGTGTGTGTGAGTGAGCGTTATCATAGTGCAAGTGCGCACTTTAATAAATTCATTCCAAGAATTTGTCCTCGTTGTGTCATTTGCATAATGTAAATATTTTCCAATGTAGAATAATAGATAGAAAGATAGATATTCTATTGCGTATGATTAATATTAAATGTGCCAACATGAATCATGTTCGTATACGCATACGATGCATGACTTCTATGTGGCGTATTAGTTATTTTAATTTGTAATACGCAACACATACAGCGAGACAGGCAAGACTAATTGCTGGAAATTTTGTTGTTAATTTCTTGTTTACTCATGAATAATTTCACTATTTTCAATTTTATTATTAAAACGTTGAAGATTTTGTAAAATTTGTAATTTATTATTAATTACTAATATACTAACTTGCAACAGAGTTTTAAGTCTCTCTTTCAGTGCTCCTCATGTTTCCAAGAATAATTCCTTTCATCAATTACCGAAAATTTTCCTTTAGCATGAAGCGTTCATTATTCATTAGTTTTGTCTTTGAATATTTCCTTTTCACCTTCGTCTCTATGCGATTCTATTCACTTTTCGAACTTCATGATTCTGATGCGAACTAACTTGAAATGATAATGGATTGACCTTCAAAAAGTAGTTGTCTTAACCCTGAGTGGAAGAGAAACAGCTGCTGCATTCTTTTGTTGTTGGTGTTGTTTTTGAGGGTTAGTTAGATTCTTTTTTTGTTGACATTCCATGTAAATACATAATAAAATCACGGTCACGTTTATGGCAAAGATATAAAACCGAGCGAACGAAGTCACTTTTTGAGCAGCCAGGTGCAGTCTTCTTTTTTATGACAGCAGCAACAAACGAACGAACGAAACCAAAGTAGCCAAGATAAACAAATTTTACAACTTATGTTGTCGTCAGAGTAAACTCTTTTTTTTTTGTGTGTTGCTCAAGTACGCCCCAGAACGTGGTGCACACATAACCGAGCAGACAGACAGACAGTCATTTACCCATGAACCCAACCATTGTTTTGTGAGACGCCATCACCAACGCCAATGCCGGCTTTGCAGTTCTTTTTCTGAAAATATTTGTCTTGGATGCGGGGTAATATTAGCTGGGAGCTAGCTAATGCAGCAGAATGCATTTCTTGGTACAAAACGAGACAAAAAACATTGGTACTTAGCCAATGTTGTAACATTTTCAATTACCTCCTCCTGGCTTAATTCTGCTCTGCATTCAGTGCAAATACTGAGTAGCATACTCAAAGGTACGGCTTTGTTTTGTTTTGGGAAATTATTTAAATTTATTGCCAAGACATTAACAAATGAATTTGTTGAAATGAAAAGTGTTTTATACAGATTTGTTTTATGGGTGAAGAGTGAGAATGTAAATAATGTTCGTAAGGCCTTAATTAAGGCCTTTGAACGTAAGGTGTCATATTGAAGAGAAAATATTGGACTTTGTTATAGAATTGGCAAACTAAATTTTGAAAACTTATTTAAGATGATAATTTCACAACATAAATATTTTTCCCTTAGAACATTTAAATTTATAATAATTACGAATTCGGAACGATAGTTTGCAAATGTTTCGATTCTGATGCCAAATTCTTCCCGAAATCGGAACAAAATTGTGTGAATTTGCCCACAAATTAGGAAAGTTGTGTCGGAAAATATATCGGAAGGAACATTCGAGTTTCTTTGCTATTTATAAACGATTTCGCAAAGAAACTCGAGTGAAATAAAGGACAAAAACAAGGACAAAACTCTTAAGAAACATTCGAAAATTGAAAAGTTTTTGGATACTTTTTCAGAAATTCTAAAAAAAATAGGAATATTATCAGTTGGACAGAAAAAAGTTGAACTAGGCCAACTATGTTGTAACCGACATTTCGTAGTATAAAAAGTAAGTCGAGTGCAATCGCACCTTCTGACTAAAGAGCCACCCACAGTGACTTTTTCTAGATGTAATGGTCTCTTGAGGACTCTTAGAACCGCAAAAATTACAACTTTGTTTATTAACATTCCCATCGTCTTAGAAATGTGCTTCATCGCTGAAGAAAATTTTGTTTAAAAAATTGCCGAACATTGCCTGTTGTTCAAGCACCATTAAGCAGGCCTAATTCCTGAGAACGACTTTAAATTTTTTAGGTTGTGGCAGAATCGCCAATTTTTGGGAAGGCTTTTATTATTCGTATGCGTTGTGATATAGTCAGGCGAAGCATTTCCGTCAGTGTAATAATTTGCACAGAAAAGGAAAAATATGGTTTAACAACTCAGGTTAACAGATGCCGAGTTCTAGTTCCATACTTTTGAAACCATGAAATGAATAACCCGAAACAATATTTGTTTTAAAATCGCCTATGGTTCTTGAATATATAATGAACGAATTATATATGTTTTAATAATTTAATAATAATTTTTTACTGTATATCCCTCTATTTTTTTTAACGCCCCTGTTTATTTTATCTTTCGTGTCAACAATGCAACACGAAAGTAAAAAAAAAAAAACTAGAAATATAACCCGAAAAAACGAAAAAATAAACATCTGTGGATAAACATTTGGCTGGATAATTTTGCATGTGCATTCAATGTCAAATGGGCTTCAGCATGAAAAAACGACACAATAAAAAAACTAGGCTATGAAATACAAAAGCCAACAAGCCTATAAGTATGCAAGTCAACAGCAAACTGTTGAGTCAACAACAATGAGTTGCGGGTTGGAGAGCTACAAAACAAATCCGTACTCGACATATTCATACAAAAGGATAACGATGACGACTGCAACAAAAAACACACACAACAAAAACAATAACAAAAGTATATTTTCCCAGCCAAAAAAGAGCGCACATGGAAATGCAGTGAAAACTAAAAAAGTAATATTTGTTCGAGACCTCCCTAAAAGTAGGCTTTCGAATTTGGCTGGGTGCAATATTTCTTTCTTATTTCCATTTTAATCTATTTGAAAAGACAATGACAACAAATGTGATGACGATGATGACCTATGACTTTCGCCGACATTTGATTTGGAAACCATTGATTCCGTTTTGTTGAAAATACGAGAAAATACCTAAGAAATCGTTGCCAAAATATTTGTTTTCTATTCATTAGCATATTTTGGATTATTGTTTTAGTTTTTTTTTCTTTTTTGTTAAAATATTACATTGTTTGTGTAATTTTTCTTCCTCGTGACATTTGACATATTTTTTGGACTTTTACACCATTGAAATATTGACAAAGGTAAAATGTTTTTTTCCTTTTGCAAAAGGTATTCAGAACATGAATTATGATAATGCATTTATGCAAAGAAGACACTCACACATCCACCCAATGCTTGAATTCTTTTTGTAAAGAAATGCCATATTTTCTGTTCACTTCCCCTTCCCCTCATAGGGGACAATACGTTGCAAATAACATTCCCCAAATTCTTTAACATTCCCATTCCTTATATTTTGTTTTGTTCCAACAATTTCCTCCTTTGTTAGAAATGTGAACTGGAAAGATGGAAAGTTTTTTTCTTCTTTGTTAGCATTTGTTTCCAAGGAAATGCATTAAAACTTGCTGATGCATACTTTATGCGATTTTGTAGTCTTCTTTGTATTATATTGCCTATTTTGGGGGGTAATATTGTAATTTTATACTCTGCTTAAAAAAAAACTTTGAATTTTATTAATTTGTTGGTGTGTGCGTTTCTTTACAGATTTATTGTCTGCATTGCCAAGTTAACTTTTTAATGATACAACATGGGAAATGGTATGAACAAGGTAGGTTACAGATTTCCTCATTAAAATATTAAAATTGGGATTCAATTTCACTTATTTTTTCCTTTCCCTCACAGGTGTTGCCTGGCTTGTATGTGGGCAATTATCGAGACTCCAAAGATACCCAACAATTGGACAAATTCAAGATAACCCACATAGTGGCCATACATGATAGTCCACGCAGATTATTACCGGTAAGACTAGCCGACCAAAAATAACCGAATACATTATAATAATTATACTCTCTTCCCTCTCCCCAGGATAAACACTACCTATGCGTCATGGCTGCCGATACACCCGATCAAAATCTCTCACAATATTTTACCGTCTGCAATGATTTTATACACGCTGCCCGTTTGCGTGAGGGCAATGTTCTCATTCACTGTTTGGCCGGGATGTCACGTTCCGTCACGGTTGCCGTTGCCTACATCATGACTGCCACCAACCTGAGTTGGAAAGATGCCCTGAAAGTTGTGCGCGCTGGACGCGCCGTGGCCAATCCAAATGTGGGCTTTCAAACACAACTGCAGGAATTCGAAATGTACCGTTTGAGCGAAGAACGTAGACGTTTGCGGGAACGTTATCCCTCCATGGCTTTGGAGAAGTTGGATCGCATGAAATGCATGGCAGCCCTGGACAACTATGAGGAGCTATTGCAGAATCGTGACATTTGTGAGGGGAATTGTGTGCGTGGAGAAAAATGTCCCACAGGTGGGTTAGTTGTAGATTATAAGGAGGCACAGTCATCATCTCATCATGCCACTGCGGAGGCTAAACCGCCCATGAGATATACTCTCTCATTTGCTGCTGAACAATGGAAGTTGAAAAACTCGCAATCCTCTCAAAGTAAAAATCCTTGCCAGGATAAACAAAAGGTCCTTGATACTGATGAGGAAGATGATGGCGGTGAAGTGTTAATGGAAAATGTCAAACTTTATCGACCCTTAGTGGAATTGCCAGCAGAAGAGGAAATAGTCCATGGAAAATAATTATGTCATTGTCGTATTATTTTTACAAACTTTTCTTTGTTTAATAAAAAATTTTAATTTTCCTTATATCCTTAAATATATTTTTTTGTTTTGATCACTCCATTACTGGCACCATTTTGTGATAACCGATGCTTCGTTGCCATACTTCTTTGTATTTGTCTATGTGTATGTGTGTGTTTGTTTTGTTTCTCCCTCTCTTCCACCACTTTACCAGGTGTTTGCAACATGGACCCCACCAAAGGTCTTTTCCGCCGACGACCTTCATCTGCCTCAACACGATCACGCCTCCGACCACAAGCTTCAACGGGTGGCGTAACCACCGCTCAATCGTGCCCAACGTCACCTAAACACTCCGGCCAAGGCCAAGTGGGATCGCGTCGTTCACTGGGCGGCGAGGGGATACCTGAAGACGATGAGGCCCACCTTAGTCCTACCACCTCGTCTGAGGCTGCCGAATATGCGGCCGCCATTGAGGCCAGTAAACGAGAAGCCCAAGAACGTCAACAACAACAGCGACAACTGCAACGTTCACCCTCACGGAATTCGACACGTTCACCGCGTGTCAGTAGTGCTGGCAGCCGTTTGACCGGCAATGGTAAAGCGGAAAATTCCTCGAAAGCCGGCTGTTCGGGTGCCGCCAATACCACCGCGAGTTCAGGTGGTGGGGGCGGTAGTAATGGCGGCACACATTTACAACGCAGTGCCAGCACTGTCAGTGGCCTGGCGGTGCGTCCTCGCAGTAGTCCTGCTGGTTTACATTCCTATACAGGTGCGTAGTGACTTAACTTCAAGGTTTGGGTCTATTCTCTTATAGAACAGTCTTTGTCGTCGTCAGGTTCCGTGCCATCGTCCGTCCATGGCTCACGTGTCGATTTGCGTGACACCGAAAAGGGATCGGCCATTTATTTAGGATGCTCAGCACCACGCAACTCTACCCTGTCACTGGCCTCGTCGGGCTCCTCAGCACCAGCTTCGCCGGCAAGAACACCACCCGTGAGTCCCAGACATGGCGTCAGAAGGTGAGTGTTACGGAATAAACTAAATGAGATCCGGTTTTTATTAAATTTCTGTTTGTTTTCGATTTTTCAGATCAGCAAGTTTGGTCAAGAAACCAAGATGAAATTACTGGTCAACCACCATCGAAAATCGTAATTTGTGAAAAGATGTTCGTTGATGCGGTGTTACAAAAACACACACACCTCAAATTATGTACCCTTAGGATGTTTGTGCTCGCATGCCCCATTAAAGTGTGATTTTGTGACATCGTGTAAACGTAACATATAAAGCGAAGCATTTTATTTTCTAAGTCCTTTAAACTAAGCAAAAAGAAACACATAACAAGAAACTTAACTACCCACGTTCAAGTTGGATAAGCTTATAACTTTGTTAAGCTTTTTAAGCTAAGGGGAGCAATCAAAAAAAGGTAAAGCTTATTATAAGCTTTCTACCCACAATTTTCCAAGCATTGGCATTTGATAAGCAATTAATACGATTTCCAAAATCATTATTTCTATATAAATTAAAAAAAAATAATAAAAACTAAAAAACAAGAACAAAATTAAGCTACTCTATTCATACAACTTACTTAATCTTAAGCTTTAATTGTACAAACGAAAACAAAATTTGAAAAAAAAAAACAGAGAAATCTATTCTAGATACATATTTACACATAGAAAGAAAAACCTACCTACAACCAACATCTATATTCTTGTACTCCAAAAAAAAAAGAAGAAAAAAAAAACAAATAAACGATCAACTTTTTAAACTTCCCATGAAAAACCAAATTTTTCGAAAACAATCTGGAGCAATTGTCAAAAGAAAAAAACAAAGAAACAAATAATCCAAATCCTTTTTCTACCTATTGTTAATGTTTAAGCCAATAGTCTGTAAACCAAATGAAACTACAGCTAAGATGGAAAGAAATTTTTAAGTAAATATTGTACATTTTTAGCTTGACTAATAGAGCACGCACACACATACATGCATACACTCATACAGTTTTGTTAACAATATGATAAAAATTTGCATCAATATATCAAAAAATACAATTAACATCGTACACTGAGAGAAACGCATCAACCCATTTCGAAATTGTATTTAAGAGCAGATTATTGTAATTTTTAAGTTCAGCAAACTCACCGTTGGTACCTTTTCCGCCTGCCGTGTGGAACGAATTAATCTGAAACAGAACGTATCTTCATGTTACCTGTTGTCAACACAAAACGAAATGAAACGAACGAATCAAATCAAGTGAAAAAAGAAACAAACAAATTTTGATACAACAAATGCAAGTGTATATTTATTACACCTAATTCAAGCACAAATTAAAGGAAAAAAATAATTGCGTTTATATTGTCATCAGTTAAAAGTAAATCATTTAACTGTCATTCAAAACGCACATTGCCGTTGAGGTAGCCTACAAAAATTTTAAAGTCACACAATATATATATAAATATATATATGTATATATATATATTAGGGCGGACCAATTTGTATGGAGCCAAAAAATCGACAAAAATCAGCCCTTAGGATGATTCTATGGACAATTCTAAGCAACCTTGGTAAAGGAACCATGGGTCTATCTCGATTTTCGAGTGTCCCACTTTTTTAAAACTGATTTTTTCCCTATTCATCGATATATCATATTTTTTTTTTAAATTTGACCTGCCCTAATATATATATATATATATATATATTTACATTTGAAATTTTATAGAGAACTATTCATTACCAACATTTTTTTCAATTTTCATTTTATTTGGAAAATTGTGAAATTTTACCAAATGAGAACATTAACGACAACATACTCCTACGATATAGTATTCTTGAAGATTTTGACACGTTTCTGCAAGGTGTGAAAGACACTCTAACTGTAGCCAGCAGTGATGTGTAATTGATGTAATTTAAAAAATATATATCCTTTTGAAAAATTTTAAAATACGGCGCCCAACATAATTTCAATGTTTCAATTGACGTCGAATATAACAAGAACAGCAGATTTTTGAATATTTTTGTTAATTGCTTCTTTAATTCATACCAGCAATTGCCGTTCTATGTTATAGTTCTTTTCCCCAATTAAACACCTGTTGGCCACCTCTATGACATACAGCTGATACCCATCGACAGCTTTGACCTGCAATTATTAACTGTTTTTACCAAAAAAAAACTATATTTGTTAAAACATTTAGCTTGAAATTAGTAAACTTTACACATACCTATATATACATAATAATAAAAATTCAATTATATAGACATATATATTTAGCGAAAAAGAAATTGTTTGTTGAAATTTATTAAAAAAGTAGATTTTTTATACAAAAACCAAAAAGAAAATTGAATATAAAATGCAGAAACTATTAATTTTTATACCAGCTAATAATTTTTAAACTTGTTATAGTAGTAAAAAAACAGAAACTAACAACAACAAAAACCCCAACAGAATTGTTATAGCTTTAAATCTAAGCATTTTAATTGCAATTGATTTTATTTATTTGAAAATCAGAATATTTAAACCAAATACAGTTTCATTATTCCGAAAATTGGGCACTCGAACAAAATTTGTACAAAATTTGAATTTATTTCAAAAATATTTTAAATCAGCCATCTGTACAACACATTTATTTCAGACAGTTGGAAATGTTTGGAAAATAACAGCCTAGAAGATCAAGACTAAGCCTTTGAAGAGAAATGAGAGTTCTGCGAAGAAAAATAAAAAATATATATTATTAAGATTTGGTTCTATAATAAAAAATACCTGCTATATTAACATAACAACAAGACAAAAAATCAATCTGAAAACACATCTAAAAGGAACAACAAATATACAAATACAATCAAAGCAACAAACAAGAATCATGACAAAACAAAAAAAGCACAGTGAAAAAAATACAACTAACAACCAAAAATACAAAGTTCGTAGTTCGTATATTTCAAAAAAAGAAATGTATAAAGAAAATGCATAAATTTATTTATGATAAACCAAAAAACAACAACTACTATTAATAACAACAAAATGAAATTATTGTTAAACAACATATTTATTTTAATGATTTTTTTTTATAAAAATATATATATATTTAAAACAAATTGTTGGTTACAAAATGAAATTGTTAAGTTTTACTTAAGCAATTAATTATTATATAAACTTAAAAATAAAGAATTATACATATATTAAAAAAATGAAATAAATAAACTGCTTTAATGAAAATGAACTGAATGAATATTGTGTTTTTAATTATTTAACAACAATTTTGGGTACCTACCTTCCAAACAATTTTATAACATAGCTTATGTGTGAAGCCGTCGAACGTAATAGGAGTGGACCGATATCCTCCATTTTCATTCTTGATTTATATTTGGAAGTAATATTACGATGTGCAAAGTTTGAATGAAATCGGTTATTCCCTTCGAAAGTTGTCGAAAGTTGTATAGATGCCACCCTCATTACTCATAAGGCTTAGGTTAATAAAATACATAAAATACTTCTTTCTAGACTCAATTCAACACGCTATGGAAAATTTCGTGTAAATCGGACAAAGAGAGTGTCGACTTTGTTCATATTTACCAAAAATTATTTGATATTTTACATATCTTCGAACTTTCAAAAAATGCAAATTTTCTCTCATTTAACACAATTTTATACATGTATTGTCAATATGGGATAAATCTTAACAATTCCCTCTAACCATTTTTGCAAAATTTATGAAAATCGGTTAAGTAGTCGCAGAGTTATTCGCATTTGAAGTCAATCATCAACCCAAATACGCTCTGCTGTTCGGTGCTGGGCGCCTATTACCTGAAAATGAAAAACCACACAAAAATTGATTCTTTAACAGCGGCATTGTTTTAGCTGCGTGGCTGCTGGTTTGTAACGAAAGTTGTAGCATACTTCTAGGCAAACACAGTCTGTAGGCAGTCGGAACATTGTTGAATTCAAATGCAAATAACTCAGCGAAAACTTAACCGATTTTTATAAATTTTTCAAGAATGGAATGTGGGAATTCTATAGTTTTATTATATTATAATGATACATATATAAACATATGTTATATAAGAGAAAACCAGCATTATGTCCAATGATATTTAAAATATCGACAATTTTTTATTTGTTAAATGTCGATTGGAGTAGCCTGTGCTATACCCCACGCAAATTACAACAGATACCAAAACGGTAGTGATTTCTTGAAAGTTCTAGACGCTTTGAATGATTTTCTATAGGCTGATGAGTTTCCCGAAATGTCTATGCAATTCCGCTGGTTATACGCGAATTGTAGTGCATTTTTCCTTGAGAAGAATGCAAAAAAGAAGCAGTTCACTGCGGTTGGCCGAGCTTTTAAAATGTTCGTAAAAGTAAAAGAAAATATTAAAAACATTTCTCCTTCAAATGACGTTTTTATTGTAACAACATTTAATCTAAATAAGTAATGAATACATGTAGCTCCTTGAGCTAATTTTTTGCATAATATATTCTATGCCCAATCGATATTTAGACTCTTTGTTATCTAAAAAAAATAGAAAATAACAATCAGATTCAGATAATTTATTAACAATTAAAATACCAAAATTCTCTAAAATCAAAAGCTTTAATAATAAATTCAATTTGCTACATTAATAATAAATAAATATACATATATAAATACAAGGCTTAAACATTTACATATTTATTTTTTGTTTAATATAAAAACAGACTAGACACACAAATATACGATATAATTTTTTCTATCAATATTTTTAAAATAAAACGTCTATTTAACACGAACACATTTTTAAGTACAACATTTCGATTAAGATTTTTGTAAATATGTATATATATATATAAAATTTTACATATTTTATATGTAAATGAACACAATAATAAATATATATTTAAGTGGACTTAGGCAATATTTTTAAAATAAACCTTAAAACTAAATTCACAATTAAGTAAGTAAATAAGTTCTATATATCAAGAGAAATATTATTGTTTTCGTTCATGGTAACATTGAATTTTGATTTTAGTTATAATTCTAATATTAATTCTATTTAATTATTGTTAATATATATTCTTTTAATTTCGTTTGTTAAGTTTCTTTGTGGTTCAGCAAGAGCGGCGTATTGGCATTGGGATAGGATGATGGACGTCTTTGGCGTTGTAGATTGGTCAGATCATCACAGCTTTGGCAAGATAGTGTAGACTCTTCATAGCGTGAATGGCACGAGGCACCCGATGAGCGTCTCAAACCCGTATAGGAATCGGTAACGACTTCTATCAAAGCTTCGTCACTAGGATTAAAAGGGCAAAAATTAAATTCATACACAATGCGATCTACCACATTTACCCACTCACCTATGATAACGATGATGTTCCAATAGGGAACCCGTGGCAAATCTTAATTTCTTTGGTGATTCCAAACTCGAAGAACGTGTCAATGAATTTCGGGGCATTTTCTTCAATGACGAACGTATACCCAAGTCATTGGCCACGGAGAGATTGTTTGATTGTTGTTGTTGTTGTTGCTGTTTGATAGTACCCTGTATATATTTATTTAATGCCCTTGAACCTCGACGTTGAGAACGTTCATAGGTACGTCTTTGTTTAGCCTCTTCATCCTCACCCAACAGCCAATAGGTTCGTTGATCACCTTTGCCTTTCATGCTGACCATACCACGTTCCTGATAATGATAGCCACCTAATTTTTCCAACAGCTCTTTACACTGCCAACTGCAGTGTATCCTTAGGGGAACTCCCGAGGATTCCATGCGGGAGGCTGTATTCACGGTATCACCGAACAGGCAGTAACGAGGCATTTTAAGGCCCACCACACCAGCACATACGGGGCCCGTGTGTATACCGATACGTAACAGCAATTTATTGTGGGGTCGATGGCGGATTTTAAATTCTGAAACTGCGTCCAGCAGATGCAGGGACATGGAGGCAATTTCAGCTGCATGTAAATCACCATTACGTATGGGTAAACCGGAAACCTGCAAAATAAATAAAATTTAAATATATCAAAGAAAATTAAATAATAGTCGAACTTCCATGATTCGAATTGAATCAAATGTAGTATCTGTAGCAGTAAGGATACAAATTATAATTTTATTTATAACCCGAAATACCCATAAAAGGAAGTGTGCTCAGGCTAATGTTAGTTCGAGTTATAGAAGTTCGACTGACTATATTTTGCCACCTACCACCATATAAGCATCGCCTATTGTCTCCACTTTGTAGACGTCATAGTGACCTATGATTGAATCAAAGCAGGTGTATAGATCATTAAGAAAATCCACAACTTGCAACGGTGTACTTTCCGCTGACATTGAGGTGAAGCCAACGATATCACTAAAATATATGGAAACCTGTTCATAACTTTCCGGATCAACTTTGTGGCCCTTTTTCAGCTGCTCAGCCACTGGCCGCGGTAACATTTCCAAGAGCAAAGCATCAGTCTTCTTTTTTTCTTCCTGTAATTGATCGGTACGCTCGTCAACCAAAGCCTCTAAATTATTGGCATATTTTTCCATCATTGCCATCATATTGTCGAAAATGTTGGGTTTCATGCCCTTACGCAGGGGTCTCAATTTGGCACGTATTGTCTTAAAGTCGGGACGATCTTCGGGCCGTTCAGCCCAGCATTCGGTAAGGATTTCACGAACACAATCAAATGAAGTTTCTAGAGGTTGTAATGATGGTCGATATGGATAGAGATTGTCTTGGACCTGTAGTACCTTCTGCAGACACTGCATGGGTGTTAAACCTGTTTCTCCAAACGGTCCATGGCGTGTATGAATTTCATAGAGAACAATACCAAATGAGTAGGAGTCACCTTTTTGTGTACCCATTACCAGGGATGCGGGGCCTTGTCTTAGTAGTTCGGGAGCACGGTAAAGTAATTCTTAAAAAAAATCAGAAATATAAAAATTAAGTAGATTTAAATAATAATCATAAATATAAATAAACAAAAGGTTATCTTTCGCAGTCGGTAGGATTCGAACCTACGCTCCCAGAGGGAATCTGATTTCTAGTCAGACGCCTTAACCGCTCGGCCACGACTGCTTACATGTTTGGTTTTGTTCATGTTTTATTTTCCGATGTAACTCAAATGGTTATTAATCATGTGTGTGTTTGTGTGTGCCCAAGTAAACAACAACGCAACAAACCACCAGCGCCAGAGTTTGAAGAGAGTGGCCACTCATAACAAAGAGAAATAGTGTTGGCAAATCGAGGCATTGACACAATTTTCTATTAAGAGAGTGAGACACATGAACCAAACAGCAACTTATAAGAGTACAACAGTGATGACAATTAAAAGCATAAAATGTACATATTCATTGACAAATAGTACTGAAATGTAAACTATGTCATCCCTAATAATTCAAAATGAATCAATGAATTGTTTATGTTGATTAAAAAATAATAAAAATACTAAATTTAATATGAAATTTATATATAAAAATTAAAAAAAAATTAAATCATAGCAAAGATTTTGATACTATGAACTAGGGTGGTAAGAAGCAGTCGTGGCCGAGCGGTTAAGGCGTCTGACTAGAAATCAGATTCCCTCTGGGAGCGTAGGTTCGAATCCTACCGACTGCGAAGTATAAATTTTTTGTAATTTTATTTTTCTTTCATTAATTTTATTTTATTTTGTGTTTTCATACTTACTTGTACATTTGGCAGCCATCGAGACAGCATCTGTCGAATTATCCTCGATGCCTTTCTTAAATGCAAACAAACCAAAGTCACTCAATTTAACCACCCAGCGTGAGTCAATCAACAAATTGGAAGTGCACAATGAGCCATGGAAACGTATGGGCGATTCATGTAAATAAATGACACCCTAAAAGACGATGACAACAATAGAGAGGGGGAGACAGGAAGAAAATAAAAACAAAGAAAACAACACATGGAAAACCACATGAAAAACAACAATCAACAACAATTGAAAAAAACTTTTGAGACAGACGTTAACAGATGATGAAGTTTACAAGGATGGTTAGAAGGGGGGATGGATTGATGGCCAAGTGTGAGTGAGTGTGACTTACACGTATTATATCGGCTACCATGGAAGCGATGAACATGTTGTCCAGCTTGACGTCCTCATTCTCCAAAATGTCCTTTAATTAGATGAAGCAAAAATCATAAAGACCAATACGAAGAAGAAGAAACAAAGAAGTGGATTAAATGCGTTTTGCCGTTGATGATTTATGTTTGTATGTATGTATGTACCTTCAGACTACCCCTGGTGCAGTATTCGGTTATAATACAAATGTTTGGAGGATCTGTACAGGCTCCGATAAATGCACAAATGTTGTCATGGCGGGCATCACGTAGCTATAAATATTTCAAAAAAGAAGGAGTATACATTTATTGCAAAAAATACATTTATTAAATTAATAAGAAAATTAATATTTTTGCATAACCTACCAATTTTAATTCCTTTTTCATTTCACGAGAAATATCCACACATTTCTTTCGCACCTTTTTAATTGCATACAGTTGACCCTTGTACAAACCGATTGGTGTGAATATTGTCGTATAACGAAAATCGGCATCGGGATTTGAGCTTAAACTGACCTGACTGGTGCGTATTAGGGGATGAGTAGACTGAGGAGAAAACAAATCGGAAATATAAAAATTACATAGCCGTAAAAATTTTAAAATAAAAAATTGTTTAAAAATATATTTTGGGTTAGGTAATCAAGTACTCACCCTTGTTTGCTTCTGGGCATTGGATTCCTTTTCATTCTCGTGCATTTGTACTTCACGAAAATCGATTTTCCACAACAAACTATCCAATTCTTGTTCATAACGCCAATTGCGATAGAGGACCAGTGAAACAATGCCCAGTAAAAGTAATGCTCCTCCAGCAATGCCAGCCGATATTTCACCCGTATAACCTGCAAGGATAATCACGATTAGTTACAAATTCCATATCAAGATACTGTTCCCAGCACATACTTATACACTTTTCATTGGCAAAACCACATTTGGGTTCTGCTGCTGGACGACCAGCGCCCACCCATTCTATTTTGCCATATATATTGAGATCCTACAAAAAAAAAAACCGAAAATAAATTTAAATTTCGTTGATAGTGTAGGTTATTTGTGTATGTATGTAGAACATAGACCATAAACATTAATAATGATAGGCTTACCTGCCAATAGCTCTTTTTTACATTTATTTATTTATTTATTTTTATGAGAGATGTAAAGTTTTCAGAAATGCATAAATTACAAGATTAAATAGAAAGAAATAACACAAAGAAAAGAAAAATAAAACATATATGATGTAACCGAATGTAAGCAGAGTTATTTTACAGCCAATGGCGGAGATAGTTAAATAAATTTTGTTGGCTTACACCGGAACAGTTTCGAAATTATACTTACAGGCAATTTATCACTTTGTGTTTGACTAAAGGTACCCACGGGTATCAGACCAGGAACTGTTTTATTTTTATGATTGCGTGTCAAACCACGCGCTAATACTGTATAATTGCCAGCAGCATCACCATTTTCATCGATATAGACATGGTAACTGAAAGGGATATGAATAATAATAAAATAAGGGATTTTTAAGTAATAAAATCCGCTAATTTCCCTGTGTTTGTATTTACCCCATTGCACTGCGATACTTGGTGCCTTTTATAGCCTCAATTATAGCTGTACCATTTTTTGGCATTTCACCCTGGCGTAATACTTTAATCAAAGCCTTTGCGTACAAGTGTACGGCATCGTAAAGATATGCTGCCTCAGCACTTATCTGTGAAAAAAGTAAAATGCCATTAAATTGTATTAAAAAATTCAACATTAAAGGACATTGAAATCGAATAAAAATCAACAAACAAAAACAAGGGTATATATTTTTATACACATATGTCTCTATTTAATTTAATTTTATTATAAAATCTTTTATTTTGTATGCCAATCATTTTGGTCACATTTTCCCAAAAAATATTGTCTTTTTGGTGTGTTGTTTTTCTTCTACTAACCTGTCTTGCACCTCCAAATAAACCCAGTGGATTGGGAAAATTAAATGGTGGTAGTTGCATATATTTGTTAACCTAAAATGAAGTTGAAAAAAGAGAAGAGAATGTTTACACAAATTACTTTTAAATAATGATTAATGATTTTGAAATTGGCTAGCTAGCTAACAAGCAGTCAAGCAAAACAAAACATGAAAAAAACCAACAACAACATCCGGACAAAGCATGTTGGCATTTCAATACATTGATATCCTTTTTTGACAGACATGGTGATAATGGAAAATTAATTACTCTATAGCATCATCCGTTTTTGAGGGGGAGGTGGATGATTTTGATATCAATTTTGTTGAACTAGGCTAGCACAAAAAATAAATCGAATAATTTAATAAAGACTTAATGTTTGGAAAAATAGGAAATTGTGTGATACTTGGAACAGGAGAAAATATATTTCAAACATGAAATACGGAAACTGCAAGAAATACAGACTCGAATTTTCATTAAAACAAAAACCTTTTGACAGAAATGTTGACAAATTCCTAAGAGATTGTTTTGGGACATTGAAAATCTTTTTGAGAGTTATTATCTTCGTCCTTTATATATGATTGATTTTAATATCAATTTACGACACAAATTAACAAAAATCTAAGCGGGAATTCTAAATTCAAAAACAATCTGTCAAAAAAAAAACAATTTTGTTTCTCAAACCCATATAAACAGAGGAAATGTGAAAGAACTTTGGACATAGTGTATTAAAATTATGTTCTGGGCTAATATTAATTTTAGAAGAATTAAAAAAGCAATACATCAAATCGAGGATTTATGTCTAAAGATGGTAAGACCAAGATTAGTTCCGGAGGTTTATTTGTATAGCATGCCTTATAGCTATATCGAGGACCTTCTAACTATGAAAGCTAGTTCTTTAATGCAATATTTCCATCAAACCAATGATATAATAAAATATAATTTATATTCAGAGGATTAAATGAGAGTTCCGAACAGAACAACACAAAACAGGCTTCCAATATGTCTACATACGCTAAGACCTAGTTTAGTTAGGGGACCTATATTTATAGTATGCCTTATAGATATATAGAGGGCCTTCCCACTATGAAAGGTATTTTTTCAATGCAATACCCATGGAAGTCCACAAGGTCTTGATAAATAAAATATTTAAAATAATTTAAGAACTTTCCCCCTCCCTTAAAGGTAATATTTAATCTAAAATAAATTTTATTGAAGATCACCTAAAGTTTCTTTAAAAAACACAACATTTTATTCTACTTCATAAATTAAGATATTGATTCAAAAAAACCTTGAAGCCTTGTCAACCTAGGGAACATGACAAGTCGATTTATGAATGTCCGTCCGTCCGCCCATGTTGAGTTATAAAGAAAGTACTGGTCGCATTTATGATCCGAATTGGATAAAATTTGGCACCGCTTTATTATTTGGCCTAAGGACGAACCCCGGTTAAGATTTAGATCCAGGCTCCATATATAGTTTTAAGTAAATTGTGCACCAAAGACCCAAAGTTATGTCGATTGTCACAAAATTTTGCACAACGTACTAAAGTTACTATAACATAACGTGTGTCAAGTGTTCTCGAAATCGATTCAGATTTAGATGTAGCTCCCATATATAGAGTCGAATTTTAAGTAAAGGGCACATCAAAGGCCCAAAGTAAGCACGATTGGCATAACATTTGGCACAATGTACTGATACTGAAGGGTCTCATACCTTACTGTTTTAAAATGTCAAATTTGCCATCCTTTAACCTTTTTTGTAAATAATAAAACATCAATATCTTACAAAATAATTAACTGTAAAAAAGACAAATTACAGGCCCAGTATTTCAGCTGTCATATAAAATACAAAATTGTTAATGAAAAATGCCAAATATTTGTTGTATTTTAACACTTGGGGGAAATGATGATGTTAACCACTAAAATGTTAATGTTTACCATCATTTATCAAACTCTTGCTGGGCGACCGGCCATTGTGGTTACTACACGTAATACCCAAAATGGCTTTATTGGCCACCCGCAGATTGTGGCCATAAGAATTAATTTTTTCAACACTTTATGTGAAACATAAAACGAATTTTCATTAACTTCATTCGATGTGTACATGACTTTATCAACAGCTAGCTAATCACCAAATAGCAGATTGCTCTATTAAAAAGGTTATGAAGAATTGATGATAAACACAAATATCCACCTCACTCTCGATCTCGAGTATCATTCATTTCATCAACATTATCGAGAGTTGTTGGCTTAATTCTCAACACACCATTAAAATTACCAATTAAAATATTAATGGGTTTGCTTTTAATGGCCCGGAAATTTATTCACTTCACTCTCTTACTTACCTCCTTGGCAAATTCGGCAAATTTAATTGGCGCTGTTGGTAAAATGCCCAAATATGACTGAAAGGCCATTTCCGCTTGGGCATCGCTTTTATCCAGTAGCAGGCCGCGTAAATATTTATCTGGCTTCGAGGGATCATATTGTTCGATATCGACTCCGAGAACAAAGTACTCACCCTTGTCGAGCAGGCCTTTGTTATGCAGGGCTACCATTAGGCCCACATGTTCGTAATAATGGCCCAATATAAGATAAACTAAACAAGAAAAGAAAAGAAGAAAGAAAGAAAACAGACAAGGGACATGATTGCAAATAAATGACAAGAATGTGGTTGGTCATCACGTTTATTGGTATCCGTGCGCCCGTAAAGCTAGGACAACTCAACGTAATAGTGGTAATTAACTGTGGACTTTATAGAGGAGAAAGTGATTGAAACTAAAAGCACTGGACGGGATAATAACATCATTAAATTCACAGCTTTACAGCGATGGAAAATTGTTTAGAAACTGTCGGTCGGTCAGTAGACATAAAGAAATCTTAAATATATTTTTATTTACCCTCAAAGAAAATATGATTTAATTTCATTATATGTGTATGTATGTCATACCCATGCAAACACACGTGGGCTGTTTGGACTCTTCCCTGCCAAATTAAAAGTTTTCAAGTGAAATAAAACCTATGTATTTATAACTGTAAAAGTAAGGAGCACTGAAACAGAGGCAAATCACCCACATGTTCTACAAAATGTGCCACACGTGCCTTAAATAACTGTTACTAATTGGAATGACATCCCTCAGATCATTTTCATATTTAGATCGAATTCAATTTTATATGGCTATTTACAAGTTTTTTTTATGCCGGAAGATACATTTTCCCAATTCAAATGTTCCATTTCCTTACTATTGTCTTTATTCAATCCCTGTTCAACTTTAATTGAATATTTATTTATTTTAAAAGTACGATAAAGAAAAAATATTTGAATATAAAAGTATTTAAATTATGTGTGCTTTGACAATGATTTATGCAAGTATGTGTATATACCGTTCACTTGTTCTTGGGAATATATTAAAAGATAACATACACACATACATACACAAAATAGAAAACATAACGACGATTCTCAAAGATAAGCAATGGAAATCCACCCTAGTTTCTTTGAGGCGGAACAAACACCTTTTAGACAAAAATTCTTAAGGGTATTTTTTTTTTTCTTTGCCATCTTCATCTATGCCACACACACAAACAATTAACCCCCCGTGAGATTTATGACATCTTTTTTTCAAATACATTCCCAATTTCTATACGCTGAACTCTGAGCCTTGTTAATTGTTCCATATTGCCAAAGCTTTTCGAAAAAAGAAATAAAAGTTTAAAAAGTATTCTAATTAAAAAATCCTTTTGGAAAAAGCAAAAAGAAATCTTCTTCTTCGCACTCTCATAAATTAGTATCCTCAGTGTTTTCATTAATCCCTGCAATCCCCTGTGCTGGGAGACACATAAAAGGTCTAATTGTTAATTCCATTTACTGGTACTTTATGGTACATACTTACTGCGGGTATTTGTATAAGTCTGCTGCACTAAATTGACAAAAGGATTTGCCATGAAGCCGTGATGATAGATAGTCTTCCAGGTCTTGACGTCACGCACCGTAATGGCAGCACTCTTTAAAATACTCAAGATGGTATCGGCCACAGGTTGATACAAACTATCCGGATGGTCAAGATACAAAAATGTTACCTACAACAACAATGATATGTTCCATACATTCATTCCAGTCCATGTAGCCATCCAGAGGACAAGTACAAGATGCGACAAAAGCCGTTAAAAGCAAACAGATTGTATGAAAAGAATATGAAAGGAAAGAGAAAATGAAATAAGTTCATAAGATATAAAATTAATATAAAACTGAATGAAGTGATAAATGGAGTCCAAGTGAGTACAAGAGGAAGGGATGTAGGAAAAAGTAGGTAGGGAAGAAATGCATCCTTGTTTAGTGTAAGAAATAAATGCGGGTGGTCTATGTGAATGATACATAGAAAAATATGAGGGTCTGAGGATTTGTTCTGTTCAAAACTAAGATATATGCTCCTCCATAACTTGCTCAATCACCCAGCTGTGAATTTTTCAAAACAAATCTCGAGGCCCCAGTCGTGGATAATTTTTAGATTTTTTTTCCAGTGGCCAAAATGGCGGGTATTTTGGAAATGTTTTTCCAGTGGCTGTCTAAGGTTTGAATCATTGAAATAATTTTTCTCAAGGCATGCCGTAGGCATGTATTATTTTTCTAAGCGTCAACAAGGTGTGAAATCTTGAAAATTTTTTTACGTATATCAAGTTATTAATCGATTTTGGTTAAGCATATCAATCAGATATAATTTCATGAAAATGGCGCCCAAAGTTTACTTTTTTACTTATTATCTCATACCTGGGTCCAATTAAACGCCATCAAAAGCGACACAACCGATTTGGAGATTTGTGTGTCCGGTGGACGGGTTCGTGCAAATGTTGGAAAATCATGTTTATTCGAGGTGTCACGATGGGTACAATACTAAAAAGAGAATAAAACAAAAATTCCATAAATATATCCCCAAAATAATTCCCCTTAAAACTTACATAAGATATCATGGGTAAATTGAAAGCAGCTGCCATGCGACCCTCATGGACACATGTTTCCTGCGGTCCAATATAGCCAACAATTTGTTTCGTCCACAAGGCGGCGGTTTGTCGTATGCTATTGACTTCATCGCCATACGTTTCGGCAACTATAAAATCTAATTCATGGCCCAATGATTTCAATTCACCCTCATTCACTTCCTTGACCGCTAAACTAATCGCACCAGATATGGTAATACCTGAAACAAAGAAAAATAACTAAAGACAAATATAGAGGTGATTAAAGTTTGTGTTCATTTACCTGGTCTTTGATAATCCAAATTGCCGGGTGTTCTCTGGGAACCCGTTAAATAGCCCAAAGTAAAAGTTTCAGCCCACACCAATTGCTGGCAGCAGAATGTTGAGTAGAAAATTAAAAATGCAACCAGAATCAGGAATTTATTAACCACGAATGGTGATGATGGCGGCGAGATGGACGTGGAGTGCGATGACGACGACGAGTATAACAACGCTAATGAGCGTAAGAGTGTCTTCATTACGTGCTGCACGACTAGTACAAGATTGATGTTTGCTCAGAGGAGAAAGAAGGAGAATTTCTTTGAATAGTTGATGAACAACAGCAGTAGCAGCAGGATGGATATTAACTTCCAAGAAGTTAGCAAATAGTTTAAGGTTTCCAATTAATTGCAAAACAAAGGGGAGCTGTTACTGTTTTATTTTCTGCAAGGTTGTCTTGGGTAGCGGATAGTTCAAGGATCCTTTAAACATTCACGGGCCAACCAACCACACATAGCATACATCGAATTCGTTTTCTACAGACAATTCTTATTTCCAAACGTTTCCCCTCCGAGTACTTTTTGCGCTTCATAGTTTGTGTTGATGTTTACTCAATGAAATTGTTGTTGTTTTTTCGGCTTTCGAATGGATGGAGGAAGGATAGGGGGTGGCGGTTGTGTGTTTTAATCGGCCACTAATATCTTTTCTTGTGGTCGGTCCACCAATAAATCTTGAAATGTTTATCTGTTTTCTTGAACGGTTTATGCTTCATTAGTTTTAAAATAACATTTCATTGGGAGATGTGCATGTGCTTGTGTGTGAGTGTGTGTATGTGCACATAGTCTTCTTTCTCTTGTCTCCACTTAAGTACTTTTTGATAAGATTTGTGGTTTCCTAAAGGTTTGTGTGGTCATCACATTAAATGTTTGCGGTTCTAGACAGTTAGCCTCCCAATGGTCCATAGATTTATTTTCTGCAATGAAAGAGGAAAAACAGAGGAAAACATATACAAAATGTCAAATAAATACATACTCAGTCATATATATGCATGCATGTGATTTACTGCATAAATGTGGCAAATTAAGGGTTGTGGAAATATTTAAAATGTTGTCATTGTGTCTATCAGGGTGGCTGGTGTTGTTGTTATTACAAGAAAAAATCTCAACAACCTCATCTACTTGACACATATTCATATTTGTAAAAATATTTAAGGTTATGTTGTAGTTATGCAGAGGAGTCACTAGAAGAGTCATAAACACAGATAGACAGGATAACATGCATCGTTATCAGAACAAATCGCAGATGGTACAAATATTTATGTTGACAAGTTTTTTTTTAATGGCATTCATATGTAGAGAGGGAAAGAGACTTGGCGGATGTCATGTTAAAACTTATTAAGTACATTTGGTAATATTCAACAATAAAAAATCGCGTTATATTCTTATTGGGTAGACTACAAAAATGTTTGGAATATTGGTCGAATTTTTATATTGACCCCATAGAGTGGTATCCCTCATTATTAGGTATTTTAAATCAATCTGCTACACATTCCACCTATTCGTCGACTATAAGACCCTATCCGTTCAGTGCCAACTATAGAGGAATAAGTCTCCTTCCCATCGCGCATAGAGTGCTATACTGCGTATTGTGCGTACGACCGAAGCCAATGGTCAATGACATTATTCCATCATAGAACAGATTTTCAATCTGCGCCAAATCCTGGAAAAGTCCCACGAAAAACAATCGTCGACTATAAGGCCGCATTCGACAGCCCTATCCGTTCAGTGCAGTTTTCAGACATGTCTGCGTTCGGCATTCCTGCAAAATTAATACGCCTATGTTCTGTCTCGAGTCAGCTAAGTAGGTTCTAATTTGATATTGGGGATTCTCTTTAAGCGAAAATCTCCCTACAAAAACTTATCAATATTGGACCATGCTTCCGGCAATATTCCATATTGCCGTACCACCAATTTTTCGCTCTGATTCTCATGGGGCGTTAAATCTTCCTTCCAACAATTATTTTTTATAGCTCCTATATAACGTCCAATTTTCGGTATAAATGATGTTTTTTACCGAATTTGACATATCGGATTCCTGGATAATAAAAACCTTCTTTCCGGAAATTATTTAATATAGGTTAAAGGTTAAATGTTAATCAAAGGGGCTCTTTTTATATGGATTAATTTCTAAAACCATAGTTAAGTTGTTTTAACTTTCAAACCCACAAGCATATGTATGTATAGGTTAACTACTATGTGACATTGTGTGTGAACCTACATTGCATTCTTGCAACAACAAAAACTACAACAATAGAAAGAAAGACATTCTATATAACTGTAACAGACAGCAAACTATTTATTATGACTGGATTCCACAGCCACATACTAACAATTTACAAAAAAAATCAACTTACCGTCACACATATACACACGCTAGTAATGCAGCAAAAAACGATTCTATCGTTGCAGTTGTACTATAACTACGTCACTAACAACAAGAGTCTGTGACTTATCTTTGCCACAGTAACAACAAATAACATTACACACATACCAACATGTGCACATGTATGTTCATACACACATTATGGCTTCTGTTTCTGATTTAGAAGCCAACTACTAACCCAAAAAAAAAACAGTACAAGAATCCTGAACAAGCACAGATTAGGATTTAAATAATAACAAACATCCTTACATACATATGCACATAATAACACACATCGTTACCTAGTTGTAATGTGTGTTCGTATGCAACGAATTAAAGGGTTCTTTTTCGGTATTAAAGATTCTGGGTACATATTACTTCCGCAAAGAAAAGTTCTTGAAACAAAGAAAAAAAAATGAAATTGAAATTGATAGACAAAAACCCACACATGGGAAGTCATCTCCCACGCATTGTCATGCACACACAGCCACAGATATAAAACGATCTCTTGCAAATATTTGAGAGGGGTTTTTCCGACTTCTTCTACATTTTTTGGTATTATAATGTAAAAGGTGTAACCCGCCACACCACACACCTTATCGTTTCGTATGCCATACGTCATACGCCACCCAGCCAGTCCACAAAGTTAGAAGGTCACAGCAAAAATTGCTTGTTTTTTGCTTTTGTTTTTCTTTTTTTTGGCAACCAATGAACAACACCTCCGAACAGGTGTCAGTTTTATTGTCCCGCTACGTTTATGGTTTCATATTGTTGGGTTATTATGTTGTCACTGTTGTCGTTGTTGCTCTTGCTGTTGTTGTTTTTTTACTGTTCGTTGTTGGTGGCAGTGGTGAAAATTTAATATTTTAACAACGTAATGAAAGCAAGAAAGATTTATGGCCAATTTAAACCATTTATGTCAGGAATTTCAATATAACATAAATGTACATACATACATAGCCATGCACATGATTGTCGCATGTATCATAACATGACTGCGATAAGCATATACGGAAAGGGGCTATGAAAAATTTAAAACAAGTTGTTAAAGGATTAAATCGAGTTGATTACATATTAATTGATGGGGTATAGAGTGAGGTTCAGAATATTGAGTAATTGGTATAAAAAATAAAAACTATATAAGTGATTAATTTATAAGCCAGGATTTAGATCGATTTATTTAACTATAAAGTAATGAGAAAGTTTAAAAAGTGTTTTAATCTGTTTATGTAAAAAATGACAAAAATTCCAAGAATCAGGAATTCATACTTTAGCCGCATTGTTCATTGGAATTACCCCTTAGTAGATATTTTTTATTCAAAATCCTAGAGATTCAGTTAAGTTTTTCTATATTTAGAAATAGTACATTAAACAATTGTGTATCTACGCTTTATTTTTATACTATCCACCATAAAATTGTCTATATTAAATTTATAATTTCGTTTGCAACACCTCGAAATGTTTGTCGGAGACCCCGTCGGAGATGATACACATATTTTTTATATAAATAAAATTATTAGTCTATGAGATCAATACCCGACTGTCTATTGAAATCGCAATAGGGATCGAAATATTTCACGTAATGCTTTGAAATATCGCACATCCACCGCTACAGCTTATAAGAAATGGGATATATCGACCCCCGTTTTGATATGGCCCAGGCCAATTTTTGGTGTGTCGAAGGAGTGGGTAGCATTTTCTAATAGAAGGGGCTCAAATTTGGAGCTCCGGATTATTGAAAGGCGAAAAAAATATTACAGACAAATTTGGAGCTCCGGATTATTGAAAGGCGAAAAAAATATTACAGACACAGAAGTCTAGCCCCGTTGTAAATAATGTACGATATTAGGCGTATTTTCGTTATGCAGTGGGTTCGGGTTCTATACAAACATTTTTGAATATAAAACCACGTTGTGGCTCAAATTTAGCGTTTCGGGTTCTTAGTGAATATAATGGTACCGGTTGATTGAGTCGAATTCGGATTATTGGAGGAAGAAAAAAATTTTTAGTGGGTAAAAAAACTACTCCGCAAAAAAGTAGTGTAGATCCAAGATTTATCATACCACCCTGAGGTCTTAGTCGAATTTTTTTCCAAACTATTTTTCCGTAATTTCGGTATTTCGTTTTCGCTCATAAAAACATCGCTCATAAAGAACATCGTTTTTGCGTTTTATTTTTATTTCGTCTGTACTTTAATTATAAAATATCATGATTCAAATTGAATAATAAAATTTTACTTAATGCTATAATTTGACAATGTTAACAGCAATATCATAAATTTTAAACAACTTTATAAAAATATTTTCCATAAAATTTACTACATCATTATATTGCCATAAATAATCCCCCATAAATTTCAAATGATAACCTTTTAAAAAATTTAATAGATATTCAATGGCTGGTGCCAAACAAAATATTTATAAAAAAGCGAAAAGGCAAGGATATGCCATGATTTCCATGAGGAGCATATTTACAATATTGCAGGGCAACAATGTGCTTTTTACTTCGTCAATGGAATTTTTAATACTTTCCGTCTTGTATCATCGTGATGGATGGTTTGATAGAGTATTGAGGGTATTGAGGCATACTTGCAATATTGCAATTTTGTATACGACGTTTTTTTATTGCCATTCAATTTGTATGACATTTTTCCCCCATCCGTTTGAACTTTATAAGCAACCACTTAAAAAAGCACTTCAATAAAGTAATATCCTATTTATTATTATTTCATTTTTTTTTCGTTTTTCTTTAGTAATATTTATTTATGCTTTTATTATTGCTACTGGATTGTGGTAATGGTTGTTCAAGCCATTGATGAATGTTTGCTTACATATTCCAA